GAGGAGGAAGAGGAGGAGGAGGAGGAGGAGGAGGAGAAGGAGGAGGGGGAGGGGAGGGGAGGAGGAGGAGGAAGAGGAGTACATGGAATAAACAGGGTATTTCTAGAAAGAAACGTATCAAAAAAGCTTCTTTGGCGTAACTGGTAGTGTGATTAGAAGTTCTTTAGGCAATCGATAGTGTTTTGAGGGCCTTCCTCATATTTAGTTTCTACGAAAAAGAAAATAATGATAACCATTTATTAACTTTTTCTATGAAGAACATGAAAATAAGGTCCTTCTCAGCACTTTCCACACCTCAAGGACAGTCGTTATTCATTAAAAATTCTAATCAATGATGGCGTATAAGAACAAACAAACGTTGTGAGGAAAAATATGAAGACGTGTAACCAGAAATGGCAAAATGGCACATAAATTGTAAAAGGAGAACACATAAAAATGTTACCCTCTTACTGAGACCTACGCCCACACAAAACGCGCGCAAGCGCGCGCGCACACACACACACACACACACACACACACACACACACGCGCACAAACATACACACACATGCTCACACAGACACACACACATTACAGAAAAACACACAAACACATTCAAACGCAAGCACACACAAACACACACTCACATATGCGCATAGACACCTCAAACTTTTATAAAAACGTGTTTCCCTTAAACCCCAAACCCTCATCCCAAAGAGAGATCCATGAAAGGACTGGTCTATAATCTGAGTGACACGTAATCTGACATTACCTGACTGTCAATTTGGCTCTCAAGAGAAAAAGTTCCACTATGTCGTCATCAGCGAACTCCGGTGGGAAGTTTTCCTTGGTGACGGATCTCACCGGGTAGTATTTCCTGTGGTCTGTCTTTTTCTTGCAGTAGATCGCAACCCCGTGGAAGTTGGAGGACGAGATGGGAGGACTCAAAAGAATCTCGTGACAACCTGGTTGAGTTTGCCAGCTCAGGAAAGGTTCGGAACTAACCGTTGTCGAACTTCCCTTACTTTGCATTTCTCGGTCACCGCCACCTTGTTGGCATACAACTTTTGGGTAATCAAGGCTCCATTTATCTTCTTGACAACAAACATTATCTTTAGGTTCGTCTCTGTGTACCCCATTGTCCTCTTTGATGCTACTCAAGCGGTGTCTGTTGCCGCCTGGTGGAACTGACGCCACACCATTCCTCGCGGTCGTCAACCCATCACTTCTCCGTCTCTGGACAATACTGGAGCCACACGCCATGTGTCCTCTTGGGTAGGACGCAACATGGTTGTTTTGGGGCTCACGACCTGCCTCTGAGCTACAATCACTAGCATCTTTCGCAAGCTGTCGGGCGTTACTTTTGGCACCTGGAAGAGATGCGCAGGAAGATAATTTATGGTGAGCGACAATAATCGGATAAAGTTAATTTATTTAATGAAGTATTTATTTTCAAGGATCCTGCAGAGAGATGTGCCGCTGTACAGCAGAGATAAACGTAACTCGTTAATGAAGGCATACGCGCGCTTACACGAAGACACATACCCACACACACACAATATATTATATATTATATAA